ATTCACATTTAACCTATTCTCACTAATCTTTTGGCCGGCCCCAACATTATTATGATAAAATATTCCCCATCAGAAAAGCAAAACTATAATTGCTGTAAACACATGGACCCACAACATAATTAGCATAATTAATTTCCTTGCGATTGCAAATTACATAAATAAGGTAGCTAAGTTTCTTATCTTATATTTAATTTGTTTGTTCTCGATAGATTAAAAGATTAAGAAATAAAGGATAGAAAACTCATATATAGATAATTACAAGGTCAAATAAGGTGTCACTTTCAAAGCTATACACAAGAAATGTACATTAATTGTTTATAATTACAAGAGGGGAAATAGAAAAAAAAAAAAAAAAAAAAAGGAAAAAAAAAGGGAGTTCAGTGTAAAGAAGCTACATCTATTCATGGTTTCCTCTAAATCCAGTTTCTCTTCTTGATGAAATATCTATTGGACCAAATTCTTAATACTAAATGTTTTTTTGTCCCTGTCTATAGTATTAAAATAATTGAAGGAGTTGGTTGCAATTTGCTAATATAAGAGATCAAGAATTTGGAGGAAGAAGAGATGAAGAGGAAAAGATCAGAGATGGAAAAAGGGTCAGAGATAAAGTCTGCCATTGAAGAGGTTCCCATGTTTGGAAAACTCAAGCTTGGTGATGATGATCCTGGTTCTGCACATGTACCCACCAAGTCTTTTCTCCATCTTTGCAAAGTGATTCTTAATGTTCTTGGTGAGTTCTTCTTCTTCATATTCTCCCCTTGTATATGCAATTATGTATTTGTGGGGGGAACTTTAGAGTATCACCAAAACATTGAACTTGTGTATTTTTTCTTTGATAATTTGCAGATAAGATAGGTCCAACAATGGTGGTTCTTAGACAAGACGTTCATCAAAACATTGAGGTGAGGACAACAAAGCAAGACAAAGGCCTTTTTCTCACTAGTTTTCAGCATGACAAAAACACCCCCATGATATTTTCAACAACCATTGATGTCCTGATCTTGTTTTTGTTGTTTTATCAATTTGATTATGGGCATTTCTGTCCATGGATGGATGTTGTGTCATTTTCTTTGATTGTAGACCTTGATGGAACTTTCCTTTTATCCCTTATAGAGGTTGGAGATGCTTTGGGAATCTGATCCTTCAAAGTACTCAAATTTGGTGGAGATATTGAAGAAAGAAAAAACTGAAGGCAATGCAAAAAAGGGCACCAGTTGCAGCAGAGCCTTCCTCTGGCTCACCAGGTAATCAGATTTTGCCTATCTATTGTGTAGTTTAAGATTTTCTTCAATAATCTAACTTCTAAAGTGCTATTTTTTTTAATAAAAAAGAAGTTAGTTCTTTGTTATTGCAGAGGCCAAGATTAACTTTTCCCACTCTTCAGATCATTGGACTTTTCAGTGGCTTTATTACAAAAATTGGCCAAAGATCCTGAGCAGAACATGGAGAAAGCAGTAGAAGAATCCTATGAGACTGCTTTGAAACCTTGTCATGGATGGATTTCATCAGCTGCTTTTAAGGTAGGTATACAAACATCTATCACATTTTTCTGATAAAGAGCACGAAATTTTTAAAATTTTTTCTCATATCTCCTTTGGTAATTTTTTTTAATTTTAATTTTAATTTTAGACTCAACTCTTTGATTTCTTAATACATTAAACTTGCATATCATTCTATTTAAATTCAATGTCTTTTATTTTTAATAAAAAAATTATTACTAAATCACTTTAAATCATAAATATTTTCTTAATTTGCATTTTGAGTTAACAAACATAATATTTAATTACTTGCAGATCGCTTTAAAATTATTACCAGATGGTAAAGACTTCATTGTTCTTCTCAAAGGGAAAGATGAAAGCTATGACACCCTCAAAGGTGATATGGAGTCCTTGGTTACATTGCTCGCGCCTATTCTAGAAGTGATCCACTCAATTCTTGTAAGCAAATCCACTAACATAAAAAGGATGATATTGTCATGTTTCTATTTATTTGTTCACTAATTTGTCTCCTTAATTTTGCAGAGATTTTATAACTTGGATAAGTTAAAATCTATCTAAGATAGGTCACGTTCAGAAGAAAGCAAGAACAGCCCATGTGAAGCTTGCCTTATTCATAGCAGAGTCCTCTCCCACAGTTTTGTTCATATATAAATATGTAAATAGTTTTGACTTTGTAAGCAGAAGCTGATGTAATACAAACCTTACACATATAACTAATAGTGTTTGAATTATAAACGATAACTATTAACCAACTTAAATATTGACCAAATTAATCTGAAATCTTTAAACCAATCTTTCTCTACACACAAATCTGCAAACTAGTGACGGATTCTGAATCTGATTTCGGCTTATGGTTTCATCAAAAGTCAACTAGATAAATACAACTTATGCCCACTTCATGAACAAAAGAATACCAAAAGAAATTTTTGTAATCAAAACTATGTGAAATTATAAAATATGAATTTATAAGTGATGCATGAGTTTCTTGATATTAATTTTTTTTTCTATTTAAGGGTTTTTGTTTTACGGCTTGATAACTGCAAAACAGTGGATTCAAGTAACATATCAACAGTACTGGATTTCTCACCCAAAAGAAAAGAGAAAGAAGAAGCCCGTTTTCCTTGGGCCTAGAATCGCACATGCTGGGCCGATTTAGAAACACGTAATCACTGTTCCTAGTCTCCCTACTCCCTTCCCCGTACCATCATTTTTCCAGGTAGCCATTTTTGAAACCTCTGAGACTCTGGATCTGAACTCTAGGATCTTGCTTCTTCTTCCTTGGAATATACACAATAACACTTGCAGTCCCGCCGTAATCTTGGATCTTCTCAATTCAGCAAACTGTCATTCCCACGAGTTCTTGGTGTGCTTCCTCCTCTTACCTCTGCTTAATTTCCAACTTCGTTCTCAGAGCTGTATACACCTTTGATTTGGGTACCTTAAAATTTTCCCTATATTTTGATAAAGTTCTTATCTTTACGCTGAAAAGCTTGCATTCTGATTGTTTACGTTGTCTCGTTAGGAAGATCAACTGAATTCTCTTTCTGGGTTATGGTTGATTTTAGGATTGATTAGAAAAATTCAGGATTCCATAGTTTATAATCTCCAATTTTTCGTTAGGATAAAAACCCACAAGCTGGATTTGTAGTATCATGAATAATTATCCATTTGGGTCTAACAGTCCCAGGTCCTTCAGTGCATATCCAAGAGGTGACATTGACATAGAATCAGGAACCATCAGAAGAGCCCGTAAATCTCGAAATTCACCATATCATCCCATTAGAATGCTTAAATCTTTAGCTAGCCACCTTCACTACTATTACAAGTTGCATCCATTTCTTGTTTTCTTCTCGTCCTTGTCATTTGGAGTCACAATATTGATAATTCTTTCTTTGTATGAGAACCACTACACCGTGTTGAGAAATTATCAAAGAACTGATATGGGGTTTAATGATAATCCGTATGCAAAACTTAAGAATCTTGTAATGGTTGCTGGCCACGCAGTTTATACTAGTAGTAGTTGTGGGAAAGTTGATGAGGAAGATTCTTGGTTTTTGATGCCTTATCAGAAGCACTCAGGTCAGGCTGCTACTTTTTTGACCCACATACGGGAGGGGATAGACATTGTAGCAAAAGATGATGAGGCTTTGCTTCTGTTTAGTGGTGGAGAAACTCGAAAAGAAGCTGGTCCTCATAGTGAGGCACAGAGTTATTGGTCTGTTGCTGAATCAAAAGGATGGTTTGGTGAGTTCATATGCTGTTTGAAATGTTTACAGTTTTAGCCTGCTTCATTTAATGTTAAGATATTGTAGTTGTTTGAAGAATGAAATGTCAGCTGTTGTTTTCTTTTAAAAAAGTAACCAACGGCATATATCAACCTCTTACATTTATTTCATCTTCATTTTGCTTTATATAGTCAATCATATAAGGTGGTAAGAATATAGACTACAACAAAAAGTTCTTCAAAACTATATATCAGCTCTAAACAGAGCATCTTCCTTTACTTATCATATTCATATATAATTCAACGTCAACTTAATATATTTTCTGAATGTGTCTTGATTCAATCCCAGCTATTTATTGATTCCTAGATCGAGCATTATTCTGAGCAAAACCTTCAGTAACCACCTGTATGCACAACTGAGACTTAAAACTTTTCAAGGAATTTTGTTTAGAAGGCCAACATTAATTTCTTTTTCAATACATGCATCTGAGATTAATGAAACTTTATCTTTCATTTCTTCATTATTGAAAAAGCACTCAAAGAAGAATGAAACAAAATGAAGAAAAAACAAGCTGAAAGTACAAATGCTTTGCCTTTTCCCTTGATCTGTAAAGAAGAATGAATTTTTCATTTCAATTTTTCTGTTTGGTAATTAGTTTCCATTTTTGTCGGAGAAAAAGAGAAACCTTAAAGATTTGTTAGTCCTATCCTTTAGTTCTTTGGAATTGTTTCTGCTGGAGGAAAGCTTTGATGTCTGCTTTCATTGTTATGTTGTTATGCTGTGATTGTTTGGCAGGTGAAGAAGAAAGTGTGAGGTGGAGAGCATTGACAGAGGAGCATGCAAGAGATAGCTTTGAGAATCTTCTATTCAGCGTGTGTCGTTTCCGAGAGCTTACTGGGTCATATCCGCATAACATAACTGTAAGCAATTTGTAACTGAACTACTAAAGTGTTCTCTTCTTAACTGGGACAAAATTAGTAACTATTATTGTGCTTACTTTTCTGTAATAAGAGCAGGTTACCTAAGAATAAAATCAAAGCAAATCATTGATTACTTCAACATTTTAGAAGTTCAAGTGCTCTTAAAAGATAATGAGTTGATCTACGTCTTTGAAATCAGTTAAGAGTATATATATTTCTCCCAAAAAAGATTAATGAACTTGATCTCATCTATCATGTAGCTGATAATGGAATCCTGCATCAACTAGATTCCTACTCCCACATGGCAAATATTAATGTAGGCAATGTGGCTGGACAAGCACCTGAGAACATTTACTTATGCTATGGCAAAATGAATTCATCATGATTTTAAATTTTTATTTTCATATTGTATATAGGCGGACAGAATTTGTGAACCACAATATGGCTTTTGAGGAGGCCATCTCTCTTTCTAACACAATTTTTTTTTCTTATTCTTGTCATAATGGAACCAGGTTGTAAGCTATGATTTCAAAGAGGAGAGATTTGCACACTTGCATCGCTCTGCTATCAGTTTTCCAGAGTCACGGTTCTTCTACATTGGCACTCCAGCTTCACCAATGTCTAGAGAAGCAGCTTCGAAAGGTGAGGCCTTGGTGAGGGCTCAATTTCAAGAGGATCCATATGGATGTATCAGTTCACTTAAGGGGAAAAAACTAGGCCGTGATCCCTTTCATCGGACAATTCCTTATCCTGAAGGATGCCCTGAAATTAAAGGCCTATTCAGACATTGTGGGACTGCTCCTTATCAGGGTTCCCTCCCTTGGGCTCAGTAAGGTAGAATATAGTCACTGTCTTAAATCCCAATAATCTATGCAACCCAAAGCACTCAAAGCTTGATACTTGTATTTTTAGTAGACAAATATTGGAGCTTAACTTCATAATCTGGTTAAACAATACATCATTCACCCAATTTATAGAAATAGAAAAGATGAAATTGTCTTCTCTTCTCTTCTTGCTTGTGTTCGTTGCCATGACTGATTGAAGTGACTTGCTTCTGAATTAGCTTTGAATGTACAATGTTTCTGCCATTGATCTTAGTCTTTAAAAAAGCAGTCAAACTGTTGTACTCGTGTTATATGCATTTCTGGCTGGCAATCAAGAACTGGTTTCCCAGTGTATCTTTGTATATCAAAATCTAGGGTAGAGGGATGCGTCCAGACTCCAGAAGTTCATTGTGGAGGTGTTATGGTAGGATTCAGACCCTTTTAGTGCAGCCAGAAACACGCTGATATGTTTACAATTGAATGCTCAAGATTCTTGAGTAAAACACAGGATAGAAAAACCAGAAATTGCAGATTCACACTTCTGAGGACAGAAACTAGAATGTTGATGGCATCAAGCTTTTTATATATTTAAGCATTTCTCCGCTTTCATAATAGAAAGAACCAAGAAATTAAATTGAATGAAAACTGGAATGTATTTTTTTTCCCTGTTTTTCAACTGATATTATTCCATACAATGGTAAATCAGGATTCAGAGTACATATGAGAAAACAAAGTTCTTCAAATTCAACTGAAAAATTTTACAGGATGGGAATACAAGCATGAAAATTAAAACCCATTGTTGGGGGCTGGAAATTGACTTTTTCTATGGAACTCAAAGCACCTCTTCAGACCCCTCATCCAACCCCACCACGCTTCATCCACCCGTCCTCACGTCTTCATCCACCTGTTGGAACTAGGAACAAGAATTAATTTGCAAGGAATGATTTCGACATACCTGCACCGGAAATTGCCATTCCTTAACAACCGTAGTAGAAGCTCTGTCCAATTTTCAAGTGCAAGATGAATGAAGTAGTGCATGATTTTGCCCAATATCTGACTAGAGGGACTCAAAACATTAGTAATAAGAATCAACTAATGTCAGAAATTGAGCAAAATCATGCTCTATGTCACTCTTTCGCATTCTTTCCCCACAGCTCGATGCAGTCTTAAGGTTATAATAAAATCTCTTCAACTATAATTAAATTAAAAGCATAAAGGAAAGGAAAATCATTATAAAAGGAAAGAAAATCAAAATGGTAAAAAAAACAGGACAAAGGCGGAGTGGGAACCATCAGAAACCGAGAGTTATCCCCAAAAGCAAAAAGGCTGTGCGGTCCGCATCATGGTTTCATCTTCTTGTTAAGGAAGATGGCATCATTTGGCTCCCTTGTACCTTCTTCCTGATTAACAATAATTAAAAAAAAAAACAAAAAACCCTTTGAAACTGAAATAATAACATGAAGAGAAAAGTAGAAGGCTCAGAGAAAAATGGGTGTAGAGAGATTTATCAGCACATATATAATCTCCTCAGAGTGGTGCATGACATACTCTAATGCCTCATCACTGCCCCCACCCCAGATCTGTCAAAGCAACCACAAAATCTTAAGAAAAATAGAAACCAACGAAAACAAGATTGAATTGAAAAGAAGTGCGTAAGCCTAACGGAGAGGAGATGAAGTATACAGACCTTTCAGTTGTCGTCTATATATAGAGAACGAAACTCCAAACCCTAGTCTCCTATTTTTACTCGTGATGACGATTTTACCCTCGCATATCACTTACCTAATTTGTCCGGTTTGGTTTGGTTTGGTTTGGCTTGGCTTCATCCATAAAAGAACCAAAATTACTGAATTAGGGAAAGCTGTGAGTGCTAGGGAGTTTACTGGGTGTTTAATCACCCTTTTTTTTTTTCTGCCTGAATTCCCCTTCAAATTGAAAACGTTGGGAAGATAGTTCCTTGAATGCTTTTTCTAAGATAAAAGCCAAACCAAACACGCCCTATGCTCTATTTTAATATTTTTATTTTTTAATTTCCTCAAAAAAGGTGACACTTCCTTATTTTTGTTATTTTCACAAATTTAAGTTATATTTAATTGGGAGAAACAAACGAGAGTAGCTTAATTGATTAAAAAAATTATCTATCACATCCATTTTTGTCGAACTAAATATATTTTTAATTTTATCTCAGAATTATAAAGGTAATAATAGGAAAAAAAAAATTGAGAAAGCAAAATTCATGCTAGCATAGCCCGATGTGATCAAATAGACAAATCATTCAGCAAACGAAGTGATACCAAAAAGGATATATATATATCGTGCCACTTTCCAAATGTCATCAAACTAGCTTCAGTTTTACAATGAGAATACAATCATATTTCGCGCCTTCTGTGAGAAACTAAATTTTTTGTACATTTACCAGAGGCTGCAGCTGAAATCCGATCAGATTATTTGTGGTTTCATCACAATTTTCTCCAAACATTCTTTAGTTGGAGAGCAGCAAGGTCTCCTGCACAAACACTTCACCCAGAACCATGTTATCATCAAAACTCTAAAGCTCTGCAACTCTGCATGTGGGAGAGAAAAATGAAAATGTGTTGAGAACATTCACGTTGGCATGCACTTACCTAGTAGATTAGCATTGCTAAATGATCATGTTGATATGCCTTTAATTACTCTAGTAGCTGTTATGTAAATAGCTACAGATGTTATCTGCCCATCGTACTCTTGGATACTGCATTTTTGGATTGGAGTTGCGGTCTCTTTACATTGTGCAAATCACTGTCACTAGCACTACCTTCAAGAATATCATCATGAGCATCTGATAATTCCCTATTCAACGAGTTTAAGGGAATAAGATAAGTGTCATCTTTGGATCTCTTCATCTGCTCCTGATGGCGTTTCACGTTTTCAGATATCTGATGGAAAGTTTCATTTATTTTTGCGATTCCCCTTTCAACTGGTTCGACAACATGCGAAACTGTATACTTCATATCATCAACAATCTAGAAATAGAAAAATAGAAAGGTCACATGGTCAAGCCATATTAATAGATTTGAACTCGTCAACATAAAAAGCCACGAATGATTCTTTAAAAGAAATATGGTTAAGAGTCTTATTCTTTAAAAGAAATATGGTTAAGAGTCTTACTATTTCACCACTTCCAAAGACAACATCATGAACACTTTGAGGAAAATTTAGACGCTTTTCACTCTCATCATGTCGACCTGTGCGTATTCTAGTAGATCGCTCACAGTCCCGAACCTCTTCTGGATCTGGTGGTGCCCCTAAAGATGCATAGTCAGTCATTACAGACACATTACGGACACATCTTTCTCCACGCTTGTAAGGTACTGCAGGGAAGACATAAAGATGCACAATGGCAGCAACACCCATCTGTTTGACAAGCAGAAGAGCATGAATTTAAATCTTTGGCCTGAAATTGAAGAGAGCCAACAAAGAAAGAAACAGGAAAAGAAAAAACAACAAACAGTAAAGCAATTTCCTGTTGCAGCACATACAATGGTTGGTAGATCTTAGAATTCTAAGATCTTCACAGCTCACTAATTACAATTAAAGCTAACTATTGTATTGTCTTTAAGTTCATGTCTACATCTTTTAGCAGCAAGAACATATAGACATCCTCCCAGCCATATACTAATACTGATGAATGGTTCTTGTTTTCTAAGAAAGAAAAATGCTTATGGTCAACATACTCACCTCAATACATATGATGTAGTCTTGTATACGTGTCTTTAACTCCTGTGCCAAAGACCCCTTAAAAACTCCCATGGAAAAGAGAAATGCAACAGCTACACCTTGCCACCAGGTCAAGAAAACAATTGACTTGAATGTCAGAAATTTAGCCAATGGTTTGATTGGCTCCAACTTTTCTTTAGTGACAGAATAGAACTGAACCAAACAATATAATGCCCAGCTCTGACTAAAATTGAGAACAACAGCCAAGTATGGGTACCTGCGACAAAGAGTGTTTCAGAACAAGAAGAAACATTGCTGGTCAAGTGTCATAAATATGTTACTTTTCACAATTCTAATGAATGGACACAATTAACTTACCCGTATCTCCATTCAAACATCCCTTCTCCATAAACTCCAAAGGACTCCAGAATCATAGCAAGTAGTGCACATATCATCTTCAGTATCATCTGAAAATAAAATGTCTTCATTAAGCACCCAAGACCAAGAAGACTGGAATTCCAAGGAGAAGCTAACAATCAGATGGAAAATTTTAAATAAATAAGTACTCAGCACATACATATTGAACAATGCCAATCTTTACAGCATGATAGAATTCAGAACCAAGATTCCAATGACTCAGAAAGCAGTTCAATGGAAAAGGATGCTCAACAACCCCATAAGCATATGAATCTTCTAATAGGGGAGTCTTGGAAGTGATTGTTGTCTGGCTTTCCATGAATTCAATTGTACGTTCCTCCCCACCTTCAGGCACCATTTAATTGACAAGTCAAAACCAGAGGCAGAGAGAAAACAAGAATAAAATCATTAAAGCAAAATTGTCAATAATTAATGCTATAAAAAATATTTCAGAAAACACTTAATTAGAGTCCACTAATGGACAGTCCAACACTTTAAGATTAGACTTCCAAGCTGGTGGTCCCAAGTTCAAACCTTAGGACAGGTGGGTGGGGATTCAGGAATGGACAGGCTATCCCCTATTTGTGACCCACTCACAGAAAAACCAAATAAAACCTTAGTAGAATAAGTAAAATAGAAGCCAAGTGATATACAAGAATAAGCACATTACTGAATATATATGATCTCCATAACACAAGTTATATGTTAGGACTTAGAACCCCATAAAACCAGTGTCCTTTCCAGATAAACTGTAATATTATTTAGTACAAAAGAGAGTTCCATATTTCAACTTAATTGTTTTCTGCAGTGTTGAGTCATAACTGTTCAGGATGCATGTTCTCACTTGAATGATGCAGTTAATGCAAAACATATGCAACTTTAATTAAACAAAATAGTTGTAATTTATTCCTTCTCGAAAAAAGTTTCTCACCACATGAACTACAACATATGAAACTAATAGAAGTCAAATACTTCTCTTCAACATGAAAGACAAATGCCAAACCTCAAACTCCTGTACATCAATAAAAATGCACCTTCTCTATTGTGAGGTGTCACTCAAGTGGTTTGTTTAAACAGATAACTTCACAGACTACCAATACAGACTAATGCTAAGATTTATCCCAGAAGTGGTCAAGTAAGACATATGGAACTTAAAAAGTTTTGTAGGGAATGATGCTATTATTTTTCCACTAATAAGAGCATCGTACTGAAAGTTTTATTGAAAACCAACTTTGAGATACATAACAAAAATTGAGTAGTTGAAATGAGTAATGGAATGTGTGAACAATCTTCTTTCATACCTAAACAGGCTATCAGATATCTCTCAAAGCAATACAATGCAAAGGCTTCATAACAGTCACGAATTATTTCACAGTTGAATGCAGCACCTGAGTCCACCAATGATAAAAACTGCCTCAAGAAACATTACAAACCAAAGTGTAGAATTAGTTTGCAGAAAATTTAATGACATTCACTAGCATACCTACAAACTTATTCTTTAAAATTTGCAGGCAATTACATGACAAGATACTCATTTTTCATGAAAGTGGGGTAAATCCCACTTATGCTGCTGAAAGAAGACAAATTATAAAATAGAAATAAAAGCAAATTATCAAAGCATACATATGTATGAGAATCAATAGACAGCAGCAGAGTGTTGTCTGCAAATTGAAATAAACCAACCAGGTTCCTTAAGGATAGGGCTATAGCCATACATCTAGGAGATTTTGTTAGATTATTATCTAATCTAAGTTGCCACAACATATTGATCCAGATCACAACCCTGAACCCA